TCCATATCCAGGAATGGCCATGCTGCTTTAAACTATTTAAATAAACTATTTATATAAATAGTTTAGCTTTAAACTATTCAACAGCTTATAAATCAGGAGGTTGACCTAGAATTGTGTGGATGCCCTTTCACTGCAGAACCCTCCTTGTCCCCCAACCAAGGTCATGTATACTGTGGGATCTAGCCTGACTCATGAATTAGCTAACTGATAGGCACACCTGGCCACCCATCTGCTTTGAAGCACACATGCTTCCATTGGACCTGGATTTATCTCTTTTCCAGCAGGGGTATAGAGAGATGGGGTGAGGTGGGAGGACAATGGCTACTGCTGTGGATCCTGGAAAGACATTGACCTCAAAGTCAAAGTTAATATGACCCTGAGAGTTCCCCACACATAAAAATTCTGAAACATAAAAATTAATTTCTGCTTATTCCTTTTATCAGATTTTTCTCTCATATAAATAAACCTTGTTCAGTGGCTGAAATAAACCCCATTATTGAAGAGTTATTTACCCAGAAATGATCAAAAGTGCTTGACTTAAGCACATTTCTAAATAAAATTTGAATGGACTATATAACATAACTTCCTTTTACTTAGTACCTCTTTTTAAAAAAAATGTTTTTTTTGATTTTAGAGATGAAGGGAGAAGAAGCGAGATAGAAACATCTCTGATGAGAGAGAATCATTGATCAACTGCCTCCTGCATGCCCCACACTGGGGATTGAGCTCGAAACACAGGCATGTGTCCTTGACCAGAATTGGATCCGGAACCCTTCAGTCTGAAGACTGACACTCTATCCACTGAGCCAAACCAGCTAAGGCCTTAGTACCTCTTTTAATATCTAGAACCAACTCAACACGATTAATCTTAAACAGTACAGGATTACCAATGTAACATTTCCAAATTATCACATCTTAGAGATATTTTATTTAATAATATACTCCTGTTTCTATTTAAAACATAGATGAACAAAACTCTTACCTGTGTTCTAAACAAAAGGCCAAAAGGTAGGCACCACTGCCAGGTCAGGGTTCCCCTCCAATGCCACAACTGAGGATCTGTACACTGACATGCTTTCTCAGGTCCTATCTGCACCAACCCATAGTTCTCTTTTGGTTTTTAGCCTGATCCTGGATGCAGGCACCTAGGTAGAGAACTCAACTTTCCAATATTAAATATGAGAAGGCAGTTGTGATCCCCCTTTTTAAAAAACAGAACTCAGAAAGAATTTAGGAAGTAAAACTCTTAGGGACTTACCTGTGTCTATTTCCAGAATCAACATCTATATATATATAAAAGCCTAAGCGACCAAATGACCAGTCAAGTGGTTGCTATGACGCACACTGACCACCAGGGGGCAGGAGATGCCCCCTGGTGTTCTATGTGCTCCCACAGCCAACTTCCTGAGGTCCCTCCCCCTGGCCAGCCACCCCCTCTCCCCCCACCATTGGCCCCATCACTGGCCAGGCCGAGGGACCCCACCAGTGTGGACCTCTAGTTTAATACTAACCCCTGTAAACAATAATCACGACATTCTATATGGTGATTGCCTGTGTTCAGAACACTGCCAAAGTCCTGCTCCAAGGCAGGTATAATGGAAGTCACTATCGCTCAGCCTCAGCGTAAGTGATCCTAGTGCAGACCTTGCTGGATGGGGGAGGGCTCTGTAGGGTTGGATTCATCCTTTCTTGACTCATTTCCCCAGCATCTATGAAGCAGCAAACACTGGCTGCAGGTTAAGAGAGGCTCTGGGCTTCCCTAAGAAGTCTGGAAAGAACTGAGAAAAAGGTTGCTAACCTGCTTTGGGTAAGGAGAGAGAGAAGTTGACTCACACACCAACTTTAGGAAGGCAACCCTGAGGCAATTTTGTGTGTGCTATTAGGAGATTAGCATTTGCATAAAGCCCCATGATGTCACTTGTTTGTAAACAAATGTGTTTTTAAGAATAACCCCCCCTCCCCCAAACAAACAAATCCCTGCTGCTTTAAGTGTGGAGCAAGAAGTCATTAACTGGGGCAAAGGCACTGGGGGCATGGGCAAAGGGGCCCTCATTAGTGACTCAAATCCTGACTTGGATCACTAGTGTAAATCTGCTTTAGGGTAGAGTCTTACCAGGTTGGAAAGGCAAATGAGAATTGGAGAGAAAATGGCTCTGAAGCAGCCTCTGCTTGCCTAAGAATCACTTTTCATTTCTAATTCTATTTATATCTCAGGGACAATGGGGGGAGGGGGAGTAATTGCTAAAAATTTGCAGCCATTTTAATTGTGAGATTAACGTGGAGTAATCTTAATGGCCTCGGAAGCCTGCTTCATTTCCTTTTAAATATCAGAGGATCAGAATTCAAGGAAATAAACTCAATGCCATAGGTAATAGTGACCTACTTCCTCCCACTAAGAAGCCACCTCCAGGAAGGAAGAAACAGAGTCTCAAAGGCTTGCAGAAGTTGCAGGTAATACAAATGAAGATTTACCTTCCCTACCACCTTAAGGGAAGCCGAGTGACCACACATGGGTGGGGCTCCCTCCCCTGGTGAACAGTGTGCCCAGCTCCACACTGCCCAGAGGCCTAAGAAGGAAGGCTAGAAGAGTCCAACTCTGGCTTGACACCCCTGCAAAACCATAGCTCCCTGAGCAACAGCTATAGCAGACCAACAGCACCCGGAAGGCAGGACATAGGCCTGTGGATGAAAAAGAGATTCTATGGAAAGTAACCTCACAGGATGATCTAATCACACTTTTTAAAATATATATTTTTTTATTGATTTTTTACAGAGAGGGAGAGGGATAGTTAGAAACATTGATGAGAAACATCGATCAGCTGCCTCCTGCACGCCCCTACTGGGGTTCGAGCCTGCAACCCAGGCATGCACCCTGACCAGGAATGGAACCCAGGACCCTTCAGTCCACGGCCCGAGGCTCTATCCACTGAGCCAAACCGATCAGGGCTGATCACACATTTTTTTTTAAATGTTTTATTTCTTTTAGAGAGAGAGGGGAAGGGAGAGGGAGAAACATCAATGAGAGAGAAACATCCATTGACTGTACCCTGTACGCCCCCTACTGGGGATTGAACCCACAACCTGGGCATGAGTCCTGACTTGCCTCCTGCGCCCCTACTGGGGTTCGAGTCTGCAACCCAGGCATGCACCCTGACCAGGAATGGAACCCAGGACCCTTCAGTCCACGGCCCGAGGCTCTATCCACTGAGCCAAACCGATCAGGGCTGATCACACATTTTTTTTAAAATGTTTTATTTCTTTTAGAGAGAGAGGGGAAGGGAGAGGGAGAAACATCAATGAGAGAGAAACATCCATTGAATTGAACCAGAAACCTAGATGCATGAGACAACACTCAACCAACTGAGGCACACAGGCCACGTCTGATCACAAACTGTTAACGAGGAGGTCATGATGGCTAGTCACACCCCAAGCATATAACTTTTTTAGTTAAAGACTCATCTTTGCCTTAAGCAAACCCTGTCCCATTGTTCTTGTGCATCTAGGTTAATATACCTTTGAAATAAGTGTAACCCCATTCTCAAGAAAGCACATAATCTTAACTATCCTGTAATCCAATCCGCACCTTGCTTTCTCCTACCTGCATGTAATCTTCATTATGTTACTTCCTTAATTTCAAATGCATAAAAGAAACTGAAAAACTGTCACTCTCCCAAGGATTTGTGATCTTGTTTCCCAACAACTGTGTCATCTGTTTGGGCTCAAATAAACTTATAAAAATTCTCTACATGTTTGGACATTTCTTATGTCGACAAACCTTAGGGAAGAACCTTCCATTTCTTCCCTATCCTGCTTCTCTGCATAACACCAGGAAGGGGAGGTGATGGAGATTAGGAAAGAGCAAATTAGACCAAAACATAGCATTTCTGCTTTTTGGTTTTTAAGACAAAAAAATAGAGCTTTTTATCTTTTGTGGGAAGAGGATTAGAATATGGCCTAGGCCTCTTCTAGAGCTTTCAAAGATTTTCAAAAGGAATATATTTTTTGGCCACACTGGGCTAGCTCCCAGGGCTTCTGAAAGCCTTAGCTTCTACAAGTACTACTTTAGAAGGGGGAGGGGGAGCGCAACAAATTAAACTTATTTTGGGTCACAAAGATGAGATGCAGCCAGGAACTCACACTCAGGAGACAGGGGCCAGCATCTGGCACAGGGCCTAGAAGTATTCAATCAGTAACAAGAAAGGACTGACCAGGGACTTAGACTGAGCCAGTCCATTTTCCCCTATCCACAGGCAGACTCTGACAGTGAGAACAGGTGGCACTAAGGGAGGCTTATCTGTAGAGAGACCTCAGAGCCCTTTGCTGGACGGCAGCCATTTTAGCGAATTAAAGATCAGGTGCAGCGAGAGACTCTCACAGTTGCAGAGTTGACTGCACTTGGAGCGCAAGTGCGCAGGGTGAACTAACGCTGAGCCTCAGCAAGGCCAAGCTTCTGGTGGAGAATGACAGGACTTATTTCATGAATCACTTGGAGAAAATTATTTCAGGCTTCAGTTCTGCTGGTGACTTAAGCCTAAGAGTCCTCAGCTGTTTTAGAGGATTCTTAGGGGTTGAGACTAAATTTCTTCATTAAAAAAAGTCCAGCCCTGGCCGGACTGAGGGGTTCTGGGTTCGATTCCAATCAGGGGCATGTACCTTGGTTGCAGGCACATCCCCAGTAGGGAGTGTGCAGGAGGCAGCTGATCAATGTTTCTCTCTCATCAATGTTTCTAAATCTCTTGCCCTCTCCCTATCCCTTCCTCTCTGTAAAAAAATCAATAAAATATATTAATAATTTTTTTAAAAGTCCAGGTCTTGTTCTATTTTCTTAACCCAAAGTACACTCTCATGTATTGCAGCCCATATTTTCCTTGAGCTACTGATATCAGGAAGTACAAAAATCCAGATTTCTAGTTAAGACATCTAAGAGTTTTCAGACCTCCAAAATTTTTGAGTTCTGTAAGCAGCCAAGCAGATGGCCCATACCAGTAAACATCCCTTACCTGGACTGTGGGACTGTCTTATCCACAAACAGGAAGATTGCCTTTTCAGAAGGAAGCTGGATCCTTTTCCTGATGATCCACATGAACTGAGCCACGGTGATGTCAGATGGAACCAGATACTTCCGTTTGTCAATGTCAACAATCTGAGAGCCTGAGACTTTTTCCACGATCACCTGGGAAAGCAAAGAGAGGTCAGGCCTGGATTTCTCATGTGAAGCTCTGGCCTTGCATTGTCAGCGAGCTCATGAATAATAGTGTGTGGGCAAGGAGGTGGGTGGGGAACTGCACCACATAAAGAAATATGCCCCTGGCTTAATAAACCACACATAGTGGAGGTTAAAAACCGATATAAATATGTTAGAAGGGAACAGTAAGTGCTTCTGTGGTCGATTATTACATTTCTCATCTCTGATCTCTGCATGCGTAAGAGAAGTACAGCTTTTAATACAAAGCTTTTCAACGTTTTGTCTGGGCAGACCCAAGAATATCTGGTGGGAGTTTCATCTACAGCCTATTATTCCAGCACCCCAGTATGGATCTGCCTTCACACTGCAGGGGAATCAAGATCCCAGGAACACAGGAAATGAAAAAGGATGGACTAATGGGAACGATTGACAATCCCAGCCAGCCAGGAACCACGCTCTTCATGCGGCCTGTTGCTTTTCTCTGAACTGGGTTTCAAATATGTCCCTCCTGCCCCATCTCCTAAGGAAGGGTTCCCAAGCAATGAGCTACAATAACAGGCCTGCTCTCCTTTAAAAATCAATAGGGATTGCAGAAACCATCTCCCCTACGATGGAAGAAATATAGCATCATATTTATTATGGATGAAGGGAAAACCAAGGGAGAAGGGGTTTTCAGCGGCTTCTCAGAATTTTTTTTTTTTTTTTTTTTTTTTGTCAGGAAAGGATGACAGGGCGAGGGTGAGAAAAGGGAGCTATTAGTCAGGTAAACATGGGTGCTCAAAGTTAAAGATGAGACTGTCGTCCTGAAACTAAAGTACCACTTCCAAGACCAAAGTGACAGGCTCCCTCCACCACCGTTCCCCAAAGTGGCAGTGACCTGTTGCCCTGTCCTAGAATATCGTTCCTTATATAATTGGCCAGGGAGCCCAGAGACTACAGGCAGCTCACTGGCCTAGATCGGGAGATTCAGCACTGAAGCACCCTAAACAGCGCCAGCCCCAGCCCCTCAAGTTCAAGTCCCGGATTGCCCCCAACCCCGTCTGTCCAGTCAGCTACTGTAACCGGGGCTGGAACCTCAAGTTGTCAACTCTTGAATGGTTCGGGCCCCATCACGAGTGCTAGAAGACAGAGGTGACAGTGAGGTGAAGGGGCGGGGAGTCCACTCACCGGAACCCGGTCGGGATATTTCGCTCGGATCTTCGCGGATTCCACGCATCTGTGTTCTGGGGGAGAAACACCAGGATGACTGTCGCGCCTGCCTGCCGGTCCCCAGGCCCCCAACCTTCCTCCCCCGCGACCTACGCACGCCCTGGGCCCTGGTTCCGGCGTGCCCGCGGCCTCGGTCTCCTGATACCGAGAGGTCCTCCCGAAGGCGGCACGGGGTCTGTGGGCCGATCGGGGACCCGGGACTTCGGAGACGCCAGTCTCAAGAGCTGCAACCGCCCTGCCCGGCCCAGCCCAGGGCGGCCCCACCTGGTGCTTGGCTGGATTTAGATAATGAAACCCACCCCCTGGCGCCTGAGCTGAAGGTAAGGCTGACAACACACTTGCCTCTGGCAAGGTATGTTTCCAGGGCATGGCTCTGCCAGGAGCCACTGGATTCAGACAACAATCAGCTCAGAGGCCTTTTCCAGGCGC